AGCTTGCAGGTAAAACATTCAAAAGGAACTGGAAATTTGCAAAATAGGAAAAACAAAAGTGTCTTGTATGACCTCCCTTCCCTGAAATTGAAGTTCAAGTTTACAAATCATGAGCAGAGCAACTTCGTGTTCTCTGATAATCAGCCATTAATAACACGCGAGATGAGATTGAAACTCGAACAACATGAAGAAGGCATAGTTTGAGATTTTAAGGACGGCATATATAACTTGACTAATTTGATAAATTTATGAAGATAGCTTCGAAGTTGAGAAACATGCTTAGCGAGTTTCCGAATCTTCACGATAACATCAGTCTTAACATTTTGTGCCCGGGGTGAGCATCTTCAATTGGGAGTGATATCCTTCTTTTCCCTGAATGAAGAAGATCTGGAATATATAAGATAGGTTTTGGAAAGTCTGATGATCTCCTGAGCATTTAATACTTTTGGTGTTTTCGTCTTTGCGGAGAAGACAAATAAGTGTCAACTGCTTAAAATGTCTCTTCGGAAACACTGAAGGAGAAAACTTCTTAGCCTTGAATGTCATAAATGTTGAGGCTGAACATGGAAGATTGTCTTGCAGAAATCGGAGCAAAGCAATTTTAAAAAGTAAACTAAAAGTCTTTCGATACTGTTGATCATCTTGAGAAACAACTACTTACGAAATAAAATGATTTTTAAATATGGTCGAATGAAAATAGCGTTTCATTTAGAAAGTAATGTAAAATGTATGAAAATATACTCTTTCGCAGATACCATTAAAACTGAAGAATAAAATTTAATATGAAAGCACTAGTAATTATCTTGGTTTGAATTCAATAAATACCTAGAAGTCATTTAACTCTCAGCTAAACTTTAAACATCACGAACGCACAACCAATAAATTCGAGAACAGCTAATAGCCTTTTAACCCTTTTCGGCAGGCTACCTTTTAAAGTCGGAGTTTTTATAAAAAAAAAGGCAGGCAGTCTAATTAGGCTAGAGGAGTACAGAAGTACAATTTTGTGAAGATAGCAATTATCGTTTATTTCTGTGGGTGCCCGAAGAGGGCACACTGATTAAATAGAGCTTCGAAAAGAGTGCTGAAACGAGCACTGTTGTCAATGAACTGACCGATGAGATGCGGAGAAACAAAGAATACAGTTGTCCTAGATTATCGGTGAGCCCGGTCTGGGCACACCTAGGGTTCGCCGTTTGATTTTAGGCAAGATTTCAAGCTACAAATTTAAAACTAATATAGAATAAGGAGATTATCATACAGCCAAAAAATAACATAGAAATTTCTTTTCAAACGATTCCTTTTATACCTTAAAAAATCTGGAAGATTTCTTTGAAAAATTAGGGTCTTAAAAAACTAAACATGGCTAAGATATATGGACTGGTTTGTGTTGAGCTGCCGTCTACTATAAATAAAGAAGGTTCAGAGTAACCTATAAATCTTTTTTCATTCAATTTTTCTGTGCGTACAGAAGGAAATTTTTACGTGTGTCCATACCGGACGCATATTTCACAAGTGCACACCTGTGTAGCCACCGAGGGAGTGGCTTCTAGGATGGACCAATGAGCATCCAGTAAGCTTTCTGTCATGTCATCTGACCTTTCCCGTGCTTTAAGATTTAAGCAAGATGGTTGAAAATTTTCTGCCACGCAATTTTCTGTAAAAAATGTTTAAAGCATCGCCGATTGCTTCTGAAACTTTTCATTGCCTTTGTTTATGCTTTCATTCATAAACACCTGAGCGCAAATGCAATCTTTGCATAAAACTATGCGTATCAGAAAAATATTTACACCAATTATACATGCAAATAGAAGTCAGCACTTTTTATTGCAGTCTATATGAAAAATAATGTCTATAATAATAACCAATGCAGAATTTTATTCAAAGGGAAATTTACTCATTTGCATTCGTATACATTTAGTGTGTTAAATTTCACATTTAATAACTGCTACACATGTACTGTCTACATAAGAAATACTCATCAAGCAGAGTGAATTTATCTTATTTACAACGAGTATATTCAATTTATTCACATATAACTTTAATTTTAACAATGAATATAATCAGATCATATATATTCTGAACTTCCCACTTTTAAAATGCAAGCACTGAAATAAGAAAACACTAGATTCATTGTACCCTTTCAGTCATTCTCATCTCAATTAAAAAAATATACACTTGAATTCTCTTAATCCACATAATATGCCGTGACTGTGAACATCAATCCAAATATTAATGCGTCATAAAAATCTTGAAAGTGAAATGTCACCGATTAATTAAACTCAGAAAACGAAAGCACTACAAGATTTCTACTTATTATGCAAGATTTCTACTTATTACGCCATATATTTATAACTGCGAAACAAATGCAAATTAAAACGTAAACAACATACGCACGATTTCACATGCACGAAGATTTAGCGTCACCAAGAGAAATAGCAGCTCATTGGTCCATTTTCGAAACCCCTCCCTTAGTGGCTGCGCTGATGTGCACTTGTGAAATATGCATACCGGACACACTGTGCCGCAAAGGTTTAATCGCGTAAAGCCCCGTTTACACTAGCGGAACTGAGAGCACAATAAATGCACGCCATGTCAACGGCTACATTAAACGGAAAGAAAATAATAGTCACTTTTTTGAGATAAAATTGAATAGGGTATTTATTACATGAAACAAATAAATATTCTAGCTGATAATATTATTCAAATTTTTTAGACTGCGTATGAAACTAATTTAATTAAAAGACATCAAGTTGGGGTGCATTTTTTGGTCTCAAAGTTAGTGTAAATGGGCTTTAACAGTTCAAAAATCTCAGTTTAGAAAGGATTTAACATGAGCTGTGTAGCCAAATACATGGCACCTATTTCATCAATACCTCCCAGAACTTTCGAGAAAATAATTCAAATTCTTCCCCCGTTCAGAAAAGGCTATACATATCTTGGTGAATGAATGTTAGAAATGTAGCACAACATAGGGAATTTTAAATTATTTTTTTAAAAATAATTTAAAATCAAAAGGGATATCAGTCTCAAAACGTGATTTTGTTTCGTTTTACTTCAGTGTCTTGTTTTACTTTTCATTCAAATCTGTTGCCATTCAGAAAAATATAAAATACTTATATTTTTTTCCGAATGCAATAGACTTGAATTGCTATTGATTGGCTATTAATGAATAAACCAAACTATTTAAAAAATAGAAGCTGTTATTAATATAATATTTTTTTTTATTTTTCATGATGGTTCAGTCAAATAAATATACATTTAATTCATCATATAGCTAATTAAAAAAGTGAGATATTTTTATAGAAATACGATATACATTTTTTTTCACTTTTCAAATGTACACAAGGTGCATAACATTCCCATGCTAGTCTTAATGTATATTCATGTAATATCCTATAAAATGTTTTGCTATTCCACTTGGGCCATGTCTATTGATATTCTTATAAACTATATTAAACTTTAAAAGAACCCTTTTGAGAGATCTTTTTTTTTAAAGAAAATCATTTTCTAACAGTTGACCTAATTACCACAGTTAAAAAATATACAATTTACCACATTTTGTTTTGTAACTTGCCATAAAAAGCTCTTCTAATAATATGCAAAATTACGTCATTTAAAAGCTTTTAAATGACAATCATTATTTGAAATGCATCTGAAGCAATTCGTACGTAAAACATTTTTATACAATTACCCACAACTGAAAACAATAGAATATCTATGATGCAAGAATTTATTAATATAAACTCCCTGCAGTCCCCGACGTTGCCTGGGTTTCTACGCAAAGCGAATAGATGTCATTTAGGATGAATAGGAGTAGGTTTTTTCGAAATCTTAGGTGGTTAGTGTTTTTTCTCTTATTTTGCTTTAGTGTTAGTTAGTTGCACAAATTTTTGCCAAGCTCGAGTAACACTGTAGAACTGTGTAGAACTAACACAGTGCCATGTAGTTGTTTTAGTAAGAAGTTTTAGTAAGTACTTGCTTTGCTGTGCCTTTTTAATGACGGTTATATCTATTTTCAGAAATGTCTTTTTTTTAATGTCTTTGTTATGTCAGTTATGCCTGTTTTCGGACATGAGCTTTCAGAAATTCACCATCCAGTTTGGTTGATTTCTTCACCGTTTTTGAAATATTCGTGAAAAACTGTTAGAGAGCGCACTTCAGTAATGTTCTCCATTTACTTTAAGGATTCTATACTATTTCGGAAAATTTAGCACTATTCTAAAGAGTAAATGAAAACAACACCATTGATGCTGTAATAACGAGAATGCAACGACGGCGATATAAACCTAAGATAAGTGAAGTGAGAGCAGCATTATTATATAATCTCCTTGATTGAGGATGGTGTGGAATAATTTTTCGAAATCTTAGGCAGACAGTGACCTTTCACTTGTATTGAGGTTACGTGTGTAGAATTTCATCAATATCGAAATGAAACTAGAGATTTATATGAATTACACACACACACAAACAAACAAGCGAGCACTCTATTATATCTTTATAGATAATGATATAGTGTACCTTCACGAGTCCAATTAGTAATTAATAATAACTGAAATGAACCTGCGTTTACTGTTTTTAAGCAGCTTAGTTTGTGAATTGATAACAGAATGTATTTGAAATAAAAGTTATATACTATATTAAGTACTGCTGGTCGACAACACACTGCCGCGCAGAAGATAAAAGCATTTTTTAATTCAGGCTCTGACAAACACATTTCTTTTAAACCGCAGAGTTTGTGATTAAGTTCGAAAGAAAAATATATTGAGAGTGGCAAAACATACGGTTTTCAGAGAGGCAACACAAAGGTTTACTGATAACCTATGACACATATCTTTACATGTTATATTGCATATAACATTTTAACAAAATAATAAGAAATCTGAAATTTAAAGAAAATTTCCTTCTGATATGAAATTTAGAACAAATATTTCTTCAGCTACTCTTGTACTGTATTATATAATTAATTTCGATAGAAATAAAATAGAAATTATATGACTCACCTTTATGGATAAAAGTGTTATTGTCGCAGATATCGTTTATACTACTGACCACCTTTTCATACTCTCCTGGATTTGGATATATTTCAGAATTACAGGAATTTTTGTATGCGCTCAAACATTCGACGTATGCTTCAGATAATCTAAATCGAAAATAATAACTTTTAAAAAGGAATTCTACACAAAACGTTTCAAAGAAAAAAAAATTTTAAGTAACATTTCATTAACAATTACAATATATACAGGTAGATTTACCTTGTAGAGTCCAACAGATGCACTTTTGTATGAAAGACGGGAGTAACTATGTAAGAAAAGGGTTAAAGTACACCCTTTATTAGTTCCTTAAATTTTACAATGCGTCGACTCGATGCTAACACACTTCGTCTCTGCTTGGGCGGTAACTGAAAATCAAGTAACGGAACTAAAATTTGAAGATATTAACAAGTGAGAGAAATAACCTACAGGGCTCAGCGAGATCTCGTCCTTCGAAACTAGTGGAACCAGCAATAAGCAAATCTATCTACGCAGAGGTGGCGGTTATGGACTAACTCTATAACTCCTACCGAAACTCGGCTTTTAAATACTTTCTTCAAAATAGAAATTTGCATTCCGTCACGCGCGCTACCAAATTTAGCTATTCTGGCAGTAACAATTAGGGGAATAAAGGCTTATAGGAAAGTTTGAACTTTAACTTGTTAGTTAAAATAAATATAAATCCCTACAACCTAAATGGGACTGATTAGAAGACTGAATGAGCTTATAATAATTATATATTTCAATAGTAAAATTCTGATCTCATTTAAACAGCATTGTAATTTTCTATTTTCTGCTTGCGTAACATAAATATTGATCATTTTCTAAAAAAAATGTTCTTTCTAAAAATGTTCTCCATAAATTCATCCTTTCCCATAGGCTGCTAATCTCAGCGTGCTTTGCTATATTCAAGATACTCAAATCCATTATGATTTTTTTATTCATTCATTCGATTGCTCGGCTGGACTTTTTAGACGTACGATTATTTGTAGATTTAGTTTCAGCGTTTAATCCATGACATTCACGTGTCGAACTGTCGGAACGCTGTCTTAAGTTTCGATCTATTGCTGTTTTCAGTGCTGAGTAAAGCTTTTCTTGATTGAGTGTAAATTTATTTTGTTCTTTTGATTTTTATCTAGAGTTAACTTTATCTAAGTAGAAAAAAAGAGCTGTTTGGTACGATAGTAATGATATACAGCTTGAACTCCCAATTAATCGACAGCGAATTCACCGAGCTTACTCTAAAAAAGTTCGCATTTTTGGAGCTATGAAAAGAATTATTATCATAAACCGTCAGACTAAAGCAAAATTTCCACTGAAAATTCAAAGACGTTGAATATAATTACGTTCTATATGTAGTATTAATGACGTTGGATAACAGCACTGCACTGGATTATTGCATTGGATTTATCATCGCAGATGATATGGCAATATCTATTAAGAACATTAAAAATTATTTTTATTCGCAACAGTACGTAATTTAACTGCACATTATCGGGAAAATAAAGGATTGTTAAACTATATATTAATAATAAACTGCTAAAGGAAAATACAAGAGTAATAAAAAAAAGGAACGTTGTTATTTTTGTTTTGAAGTGTGTTCTTGTTTTAAATATTGATTTAATTTATATAACCGAATGATTTTATTCTCCAAATAAAACGGCTTAAAAATACAAGTAAATTGTTAAATAGTATTAATTATTTCTTTTGTCATTTTTAAAATTTAAAATTAGAATTTTATTAAACTGCTGTCGGACTATCCGTGGAAGTTGTCCCGAATATTAGCCTGATTACCGGAAGTCTAGTGCATTTTAGTTTATCTAGGATGCAGACAAAACTAATAACGATGCAGCTCGTTATAGTCTCTTTTATTTAAAAGCACTTTAATATACATATCAATGTTCAGAATAAAAAACAGTTTTTGAATTACAAGCTAAGTCATTAATTTTTTGAGAAATCTCTCAAAATCCATCTTTAGCTTTTAATGTCAGATGACTGACATTTTTCATTTCAGTTCTGTATTATCAAGTAAGTAAACATGCAAGTTTTATCAACGTACTTAGAGTAAATGCTATAAAACTCGTACTATTGTCATGTATTATATTGCATTTCTAGAACTTTTGAATGTAAATATTCCCACATAATTTAATATTTTTATTTTGCAAATATGAAATGAATAGATTGCCTAAGCAAAGAGCAGCGAACTAAGTCCAAAGCAACGCCCTACTCAAGTATTTCAAAAATTTTATAGTAATTAGAATAAGTCTTCCTCTTAAGAATGTTAATGAGAACAATGAATAAGCGATATAGCCTGAGGTTGTGCAATAAATACTAAACATGGTATCAGGGTCAATGTTCCTTCTAACCTTCTTCGGGAACATACAAGGACCTGACTCGGAACAGAGAGCTTACTAAAGCTATGTTCACTAATTGTGGTAAGTAGACAGGATACAGACGAAGGGTATACAAAATCCTTTATTTTTCTCTATATACAATAACTTCCGTACTTCGGAATACACTGACCCGCCACTTGGGGTCTAACGTAAAAGTATAAAAATAAAACTAAACTCTAATTTAACTTTAGAATAATACACGTGGAAGATTGGCCTTATACTAACAGGCAGCGTATGTAGCACAGAGACTGTGAACACTACAATACGTTTAATTTATCAAGAGGATTAAAACCTCTGGCCTGGAAGGCAAACAGCAACTGCGTAACTTCTAAGGTAAGCGGCCTGCGTTGACTCACTGCTTCCTCCTCTCTCGCTTGGCAAAAAGCCACAACTTAAATACTTGGCGTTCGCCAGACAAACTTTGCATAAAAACCTTACCACTTATAATTCTGGCCGGAAGTAGAAAATAAGAAGTGATAGTAAAGATTTAAAATAAAATAAACGTTAGTAAAACTTAAGATCCTTACAATGGGACAGGACTTAAATTGATAAATGATTTTCCAGTGAACTAACTCTTCAGTGTCAAAATGAATAGTACAATACATTTCTTATATCCAGAGATCTCCCTACAAATGTTCTATTAATTATAAAAAATACTTACTCGCACCATTCCAGAAAATCTTCACGAAGTACGAACTTATGGAAATCTATTGGTGATATTCCACAAGCTTTCTGGACATTTTTCTCACAAAAATGAGAGTTAGATTGACCTATAAAAGTGTAATTATGTTAAATTCTTTCAATTGATATCATGTAAACCTTAATACACCTAATACCTAATAGAAAATTATTACTTGTTAAAAGACTCAATATTTTTATGTATTAAAGAAACAAAATTTGATTTAAGTTTGAAGAAAAGCTTAATAAAAAAGATAATTTTCAATAAGCTTTTTCGCTTAATTTATGGAAATATTTGTGCTTCTTTTCTAATTTTTTCCGCATTTTATTATATGTTAGTTTTCATCCTTTTTTTTCTTATTACTGGATTTGTTCTCATTTGTTGTTTTTTTGTCAGTATTAGTGTCCTTCTAAAGCAAAATTTTGAATCATGATTTAATTTTTCTGTGCTTACTAGCCGTACTTGATATTCTATGTACACGCACGTTGTAATTGAATAAATATCCCTAGTAGATTCGATGATGTAACAAGTTGTACTGTACCTGTACATGACAGAAGTTCATAGTGGTGTGACTTTTTGCGAAACCTATTTTTGCGAAACCGTTTAGGTAATGAATTTTTAACAGTCTAAAAGTATATTTTCCTAAAATATTAGCATCCTACTCTTCTTTTACTTTCTTGTTGTTGTTCCCTTATATACAATCTAAAAAAGAGGAAATCTTCCCTTAAAATCGAGCCATTCGCCAAAGCATATTTTCTGCAGCCGAACAGTAACAATTTGCTATGCGACAATTGTAACCTGTCTCTCCCCTTCCTTATTCCTACCAGTGGTCGAATGGTAAAATCGCTGAATTTTGGGAGCTCAACCTTTGTTCAAATCCAGGCGAAAGTGCTGGTTGCATAGGCGTTTTCGTGGTTTTTCCCATGTGCAACGTGAATGTGAGCCAGTTTCTCTTAGAAATTCCTCCACGAAGGCATCGATGTCCTTCGCAGACAATCCTAGCGCGCTTTGACATAATCAAATAAATCAAACTAAAACCTTAGCTTTCTTTCATGACGACAGAGCATCTTATTGCTTGCTTGCGGATTCGTAATAGATTGAATGCTCACAGCATCTATGATAGATTGATAAAATGCCTTTTATCAAAATCAACATTTCAGAGTTCTGCAAATTTCCATATAGGTGCTCGAAGTATCACAGAGTACAATCAGTAAATACACTTCAGACTACAAAGACGTTAAACACAGTGCAATGCAATGCGCATGTACAGAGAAAGCTATGAGGTGATATCTCAATACTCCGAACTCATGTTGGGCTAACAGCTAAAAACAACAACTCAGAGAGCAGATACTCACACCGCCTTTATATAATTCTACACGGGCGCCGAGATATTTCTAGTACTTTTTGCTTCAAGGAAATACTCGAAGGCAACATGAGGGTCGAATTACAGTACCTACTATACAGTACCTACTATGGTGATACAACTAGGACTAGAATTACACCCCCATTATGCAAAATTACTTGTTTATTAGGGATTTGCGGTGTAGTCTAGGTGGTATTTACTACTACCGTCACGAGCGCACAGCCGCGAGGCTGGGGGCTCGACAGATCCGTGGCCGAGTATATAGCTAATGCCACTGACTCAAAAGACACCGTACTTATTAATGAAGAACGGGCCAAACGAGCGCCTCTGGGGAGCAATCTTTGCGGTTATCCCTTCGGATACTACGCGTCCTAACGCGTAGAACTCATGCGAGCTTTTATTTATGATGTGTCCAAGACCATAATATCTCTATCTCGGAAGAGACGTATAAAAACGCTCAGCGATTCTCGGAGACGGCTATTACGTCATTAAAATGACGAGCCATAAATAGTAACCCTCTGATTTCCCTTGGAAGACGTGTTCTTTCAGTGGAATAGCTGCACGATTTTAGCCTACCACCTAAAATTAACGTGAGCCACAAGTGAAACTCACGTCCGATCAGACTTAGGGCTCAACATAAAGGTTCTAGACCACTCGCGTCATCATCACGGAACTTGGCTCGGATACGGGCGTGTCATCACTAGTCAGATGGCCCTGTTCTTCATCGCCAAGTACTATGGTAATACAGGGAACGGATCGAAATGTAGCCAAATAATCGCCAAGTTTAAAGACTTTTGGCTATTTCTCGCCAAATTTGCGACAAAAATTAGTCGTTAAAACCGTTGCCAGCTTGGTGATATCTTGCCAAATTACCGAGATAGTCATTTACTCTGTTAAATGGACTTGACTCTGCTTTCTTACTTTTCTGGCATAACTTTTCTCTCTGGATTTTTCATGTTACATTACGCAGAAAAATGCAAACATTTTACATATAATTGCACTGAAATCCTCTATCTATGTACAATATTCGGAATACTGCACCCTTTCCAAGAACTCGACAAGAAGCCATACGTATAACTAAGGCAAATAAACGTAATACTAAAACAATAATTAGAGTAAATAACATAACCAAACACTAAATCAATAACTGAGTGCGTGAACCCACAAATATAACCATGGTCTTATGCTATTTACATTATGTACATTATGGTACGTACTATGCCCATAATAAAAGGCTAACCTGTCGTAATGAAGGCTTAAGGCTTAGAATTCGGCGACATATGGATCCGAATAACGACGTCGTCTAGCGTGTTTAGGACTGTGTAAAGACCATCCCAATGTGACTGTAATTTAGGACAGAATCCTTTCCTTCGTATCGGATTCCATAACCACAACTTGTAATCTTCGTTGAAATCGATGCCCTATAGCTCTCGCGCCGTATCTGGTTTTCATCTTCTCCGTCGTCAAGTTGTCTCGCTCTCTGCAGAACTGTGCTTCATGTCAAACCGTGCCTGAAGATCTTGGCTGAACTCCTCAGGCTATGAAGGCGCACCTGGAGGGTAACCAAAAAAGAAATCATAAGCTGCCTTGTCAACGAAGGTCAATACCGAAAATCATCTGAGATGGGCAATAGCCGGTAGTCTGGTGGACAGCGTTGCGATAAGCCAGTAAAAATAGAGGTAACTTCTTGTTCCAGGCCTGTTGGTTTCTGGAAACCACAAACGAGAGGTTATTATGGATAGTTTAATTAAACCTCTTACCATGCCGTCAGACTGGAGATTAAAGGTGTCGTTTGAGCTTTGTCGATGCGGAATAGCTTGCAGCATTCTTTAATTATAGGAGAGGTAGAATTTCTTCCTAGATCGAAATGCAACTGAAGAGGCGCTCCGAATCTGGAAATCCAATGCTGTATTATTTATATCTGCTATCGTGACAGCCTCTTGATCGGGGATGAGATAAACTTCACATTACTTGGTAAAGTGATCAGTGATAACGAGGATGTATTTGTTGCTTGGGAGTTCATGGCATAGATCCTAGGATGTCAAAGTCGATACGTTCAAAAGGCGCTCCTACATTGTAACGTTGTAGCTTCCATGTCTGCGTTTTTTCAGTCCTTTACGACCCGCAAAAGCATCGCAAGATTGGCGCCACTTTTGCAAGTCAACCCCTACAATACTCCAATAGAAGCATTTTCGAACTCTCTGCAAATCTTCATTATTCCGAAGTGGATTCCGAAGTAGAGCGGCTAATGTATGTCTTTAAGGACGTACGGAATCTGGGATCTTCGAAGTGTCAGCTATTATCGGAATGACTTTCGATCATCCTATTAGAGCTTCCGGTACAAGACACCGTTTCGCATATGGAACGAGTCCCAAAGAGCCCGATATTATTTTGTCGTAGGACTTTAGATCGAAATGTCCTGCCAGGTGTGCTTCTTACTTGAAGACTCCATTAAATCAGTTGCGGTTTTAATGTCGCCGTCTTCCAACTATTCTTTCCTGACTTCTTCATCGCTCCATGGTTCTCGATCGATCGATGTTGAAGTTGTAACCTGACTAAGTAGCTCGTGTTTCTTTTCGAGCCTGGAACGATGGAACGATATGTGCTGCTATCTAAGTAAGGTCTTCCAGACAAGGTATCGGCTTTCTAGGTATCGACAAGGTATCGGCTTTCCCTTTCGATGGCGGATCTTTGTGTCCTCAGAAGCTGAATGCAGTTCGTTATTTTTAAAGTTCATGGAAAAGTTATATTTCTCCGTAACGTCCATTCCGAGTATAAAAGGATGTATAATATCTGCCACATATTCTGTATGATGGTAGACGGCACTTCCAAACGTGATTTTTACGTTTAACTTCCCATAAATTTCGATTTAATTACCAGACGAAGTCTGGAGGGTAAGGTATGTTGGCGTCCAAAAGAGTTTATTTTTAAACAGTGGCGCTAAAAATTCCGAATGATAGTAACATTGGCTCCTGTGTTGATGGTCATATTGCAGTGAACTCCATTGATATGACCCATGATGAAGTGTCCATTACTGCCGCAATTCACTGCAGAAATCTGAAGTGATTTAAAATGGGTATTCTCATTTATCTTTCGAACTCAGCTGCGCGAGTTGGCCACTAATGTGTTTCCTGCGTTGTCTTAACTTCTGTTTTTTGGGGTGCTCTGCAGTTTCTTCATACGTCTCTTTCAGCATCGCAGTTCCAGCATTTTATGGCAGGTTTTATGTCACTTTTATTACGTTTCAAGGCATTGATTTGACTGGTTAAATCGTCCACACGAGTATTGATTTGATCCACTGGCTGTTGGAATTCAGCAGCTTTGATTGGGTGGGGGTCTCTACGAGTTGTTTCCTGGGCTGCCACAAATTTCATGGCGTACACTAGAGTGCTTTTCAAATATTTGACATCCGCCATTCGCAGATTTTTCTGTATTTCAGGATCCCAGATGCCGTCGATGAAGTACTGCAGGGAGAGGATTTCCTTTGTTTCTTTCAGGCACTTCAATAAAGCGACATGAGACAGGCTTTCAACATCTATGGCAAGTTCCGAGAGTGCTTCTGTGGGCTTCTCTTGGCGGGATTTTAATTGAAGCCTGCTAAAATATTTTAAACACTTCTCCAAAAACCCCAGCTCCAACGCGCCAAATTTAGCTTCGAAGTCTAGCCTCTGGTTTTCGAGAAGAGTTCAAAGAATATCCGTTGCATCTGCTCTCAGAGAAGCAGCGAG